TTACACACTGGCCCTATCTCCAGGTGTGTCTTCCTGCCAGACCAGGGCGCCTTCTTCGTGAACTATGTGATTGCCTCGGCCTTCATCGGCAATGGCATGGAGCTGCTGCGGCTGCCAGGCCTCATCGTCTACACCTTCCGCATGGTCATGGCCAGGACAGCCGCTGACCGCAAGAACGTTAAGCAGGTGTGCCTCTGACTCCCTCCAAACCCCAGGCCTCATACCTCCCAGCTCAGGTTTGGCCCACTCCTTCTTGCACCTGGACCAGGGCCGCCTCTGCTGGGAGCTTCTCCATAACGTGGGCTCCTTAATGTGGGAAGGAGAAGAGAGCTTGGCACTTCTGCACTGTGACCACTTTGGCTGCATCCATACATACACTTAGAGTCCCCAGGTTCCTGGGCCCCAGGTGGCACTCACTGGTAGAACACTGCTTAGGGAGCCCCGGGCCCTGGGTTCCACCAGCACAAAGAAAGGACAAGGTGGGGTTGAGAGCACAATCCGTGCCTTTCCATGGGCATCCATTTGCATGTGTTCTTAGCAGAGCCCAGCTATCAAAGGCATTTTGAAATTGCAGCATTTGTTCCAGCACTCCCTAAATTAGATGGCCTGGGGACCTCTCTTATTGCTCTGCCTTGGTGGGTGCTGTGAGAGAGGCAAGGATAATCTGTTTAATCCTCAGGGTCCCCTTGTAAGACCAACAGCACTACACTTCCTGTTTCTCAGAGACACAAATTAAGCTGGCCGAGGCATCATGGCCAGAAGGGGCTGAGCGGGTGTTTCCTGTGGTACCAAGTCTGGGAATCACTCTACAGCTGTCCTTAGGCCAGCTCTGCCTCATGGCCGCTGACTCCAATCCCTGTGCTTTGAAGACCTGGGTGGGCACAGTGTCACCTTCCCTGGAGGCCTGGCCTTCTGCTGCCTCCCTGTGCCCTGGAGTCCTGGGCAGACTGAGAAAATTCCACTAGCTGGGCCAGGGTGCCAGTTCTTCTTGTAGCAAGTGGCTGAGTCTCCTGCCACCTGAGCCCCCAATCCTTGTCAGGCAGGGAGGGATCAGAGGGCTAGCCCTGAACTTCTCGTCACTTCTTGCTCCCAGAACCAGGCTTACCAGTTCGAGTTTGGAGCCATGTATGCCTGGATGCTGTGCATCTTCACTGTCATCATGGCCTACAGCATCACCTGCCCCATTATAGCGCCATTTGGTGAGTGACCCTTGTGCCCACACGTGGACAGCTGCTTCCACCAGTCCTCAGGGACAGACTTCATAACTATGGAGCTCCAGCTCAGTGGATCTCTTGTGGCCACTGAAACCACTGCTGCCAGGGAAACACATTGCATCAAATTTCACATCAAGTCTGAACAAACTCTGCTGGACTCCAAGTGCAACCTCCCTTAGTGCTTCTGCATGACTTTTCTGTGGGCTGACCCTGTCACAGGGTCACTCTTGCCTCTATGCATGCTGGGGATCAACCTGAGGGCTCTACATATGCTCAGCATGCCCTCTACCACTGATCTCCACCAGCCCCCACCTGAGAGCTTGCATCCTATACCAGCACTGTCTTGCTGTTGCTGGTGCTGCTGCTGCTGCCTCAGCCAGCTCAGTGGAGCACTTTTGAGCACATGCCAGGGCCTGGGCTCCATCTCCCCAGCCCTGGAAAAACAAAGCCAGCACCCTCCTGTATCCTGCTGTGTCAGAGCCTCAGCCTCCTTGGACTGTGAGGAGGCAGGAGGGTGGGGAGTTCTGAGGGATGGCTCAGTATGGGAGGCAAGCAGGGCTGGGCCAGGTACTCTGTGATGTAGGGCAGAATCACAGGGGCTCCTATTCCCTCAGAGTCAGGGAGAAGTGAGGGAGGAGTGAGAACAAGCTAGCAGTCAGGATGTGCTTTTCCCAATTTTGGCCCAGACTTTGCTCAGCACCCCACCCTTAACTCCATGAAAATGAGCCTCCCTCTGAGGGAAGCTGGCCACACATTCATAGGCCACCTTCCCAGGCCCTCCCTGGGAAGTCAAGGGTACTTGTATATCACATGGCAGTTCACTTCCCTCCTCTGTCTCTTGCACACACCCACACCCCCACTGGGAGCTCAGAGTCAGCTGGTGCTATTGTGGTGTCAAGTTGTCTCTGCTTAGCGGGTGTGAGTTCAGCCCACCCACTCACAGCCCACCTTCACAGGCCTCATCTACATCCTGCTCAAGCACATGGTGGACCGGCACAACCTCTACTTCGTCTATCTTCCAGCCAAGCTGGACAAGAGGCTGCACTTCGCTGCTGTGAACCAGGCCTTGGCTGCGCCCATCCTCTGCCTCTTCTGGCTCTTCTTCTTCTCCTTCCTGCGCCTAGGTGAGTGCCCTCTGACCTGGGCCGCCCTCTGCCTCACAGGCCCACATCCACCCATGTCAGCCAGTCATCAGGTACTAACTTGGCATCTGATCAAAGCATGGCACCCAGGCAAGGCCTGGGTGTGTGGTGTCCATGGTCAGCATGCCAGCTGGTTCCCCACAGACATGCCAGGCTGAGGACAGCTCTGGGGGACTGAGCCAAAGAAGGGAAGCTGGTCTAGACTGCTCTTATGGGTGCTGGGTGGTCCTTGACTTCACTATCCATAGTGTGGAGATGATGGAGGAGCCAGAGAGACAAGGACACTCAACAGAAAGCAAAAGGCAGTAGACTTGTGGGTCACCTCTGCTTCTGGCTCTAGAGACTCCATTCTGACTGCTGCATGAGGCTAGGTTGCAGAGCCAGGCAGAGTGGTGCTCTCTCCCACAGGAGATAGTCCCTGCTCTGGGACCATCATTTTCCTCCCCAGGTCTGCAGGCCCCTGCCACCCTGTTCACCCTCCTGGTCGTGCTGCTCACCATCCTGATCTGCCTGGCGTATACCTGCTTTGGCTGCTTCCGGCACCTCAGCCCTCTGCACTACAAGGTACAGAATCTAAGGAGATCATGATGTCCCCACCCCTTCCTGAGTCAAAACAGCAGCACCCTTCTTGAGATCCACCCCTCCCTGGGAAAGGCAAGGGTACTTGGATGTAACATGCACTTCCCTCCCCTCCTCTGCCTCTTGCACACACAGACCCACCCACTGGGACCTCAGAGCCAGCTGGTGCTGTTGTTCTGGTGTCAAATTGTCTCTGTTTAAAGGGTGTGAGTTCAAGGAGATCAAATTTTCATCATGCATCTCTTCACTGTTATCTGCAGACAGAAGAATTGGCAAGACAGGAAGGAAGCGAGGCAGAGGCCCAGGAGCCTGCACCACTTACAGTAAGCCGTCGGCTGCTTGTTCACTGCTTTCTACTCTTGTTGCTCTGGGGATAGAAGTCCCATGTGCCCTGCCCATCGACTCCTAAGATAGGAGACCTTTAATCATGGGGCAGGCATGTTTCTGAATTAGTGTCAGTGGAAAAGGAATCCCCAGTCCCTTTGGATTTTTTTTCTTTGCAACACTGGGCATCAAACTCAGGGCCTTGAACACAGTGGAGACAGTGCTTCATGCCTCAGCCCCTCCTTTCAGGATATCTGAAATTTGTCACTCATTGAGGAGGTGACTGATCTCTGCACTGTGTGCCCACTCTGATGCCAGCCCCTCCTGGCTTGTTTTTCTTCAGTCATGGTGCTTGTGAGTCTGGGCTTTATCACCAGCCACTCAGTTGCCCTCTGAGGCCCTCACTGGCACCAGAATGCTCTGAACAAACCCCTTGCTTCTCCCTGCCTCTGGCCTCTGGGGTCCTGCGCGTGGGACCTGGGTCCCAGAGCTGTGGGGTACGAGGTTTGATGGGGCTGGCCTCCTCTGCAGTGCTCTTCCCAGGTGGTGGGCACTCTCATCAGTGTGCAAGCCCCACAAGACAAGGTCCTGAACCCCCAAGTCAGGGAAATGCAGGCCCGAAGGAGGGTGGAAACCCTGCTAGGAGGAGCGAGACAGGCTCACGGCCCAGCCAGGCAACTGCACCAGGGACTGGGAGGAAACATCATTTACAAGCCCAGTGTAGACAGATTTGTTCCCCCTGTAAAGTGAGAGATTCTAGAATCCTTTGCTGGGAATTGGAGGAAGCTTCTCTGTTGTGTATGATCTTAACAACTAGGACCAGGTTGTGGTGCGTTTTCCGGTTTACCCAGGTTTATGGGAAGTTCTGTAGGTGGCATAGTTTGGGTAGCACTAACTCCCATTTGCTAGCAGCTCTATGTGCCCCGGATCCTGAGTGGTCTTGCCTCGGAGAGGACAGCCCTGTCCTTGCAACAGCAGCAGACCTATGGCACCATCCACCATGTCAGTGGGAACCTACCCAAGCAGGACACAGTCTGCAACCCAGAGGACAGTGCAGTTACCTCCTCTACTACAGGCTACCTGTGAAGATACTGTCTGCAGACAAGAAGGGGCTCAGCCCTGATTAGGGCTGGGCTGGCTGTGGGACCACAGTGGAGGTGGACCTGCCTCTTCCCCAGAGCCCTGCCCCTGTGCTTTGAGCTTTGTGGCTGGGATTGTACCCCAGGGTCTGAAGCCAAGTTCATGTGTTAGAAATTCCTTTCCCAAGTTGGTCCTGAGAACGATGTTGGCCATGGAGAGCCATGTGACAAGAGGACTATCCAGTGTCCTCCCACAGCAGTGGTCAGTGCCTGGCCAATCTGACCACGGCCTGTGTCCCATCTCCATGGGCCTTGTGATGGGGTCTGGGTCACTCTGCTGCAGGCAGAGACGATGAAGACCATTAATAAAGTGCCTTTGGCTGAGGCTAGTGGTCAAGCATGTGGGGTTCCACCCCAGGAAGTGTTGGGTTAAGGCTGGAGAGAGTGTGGGCCTGACTGGAAGACTGGAAGGTGATGGCATCTTTCTTCCCCAGGTTCCCACGCCACTATGGACTTTTGTCAAGTCTCCTCTCTGGGCCCTGCAGAGGGTGGGGGTGAGGAAGTCACAGGGCCAGGGTCTGAGTTTGGGGCAGAGTCTGGTCTAGGACTGGAAGAGCACAGTGCCTTCGTGTGGCCCATGGTCCACCTGACTCCATGTCCCCGCCTAGGCGCACCCCTCACCCTACAGACCTGTATCCTGGTCCCTCCAGCCTTCCCACCTGCTACTGCTCCAAGCTGGGAGGGGAGGAGACAGTGGCACCACCTTCTTTTTGGGGTCAGTGGACTGGGTGGGACCCCAGCACAGACAGCTGTCCTCTGGAAAGGGAGCCCCATTAGGAGACCTAGGGCATCACATGCCATTTGGCTCCCAAGGCTGAGAAATGACATCATTTATAATCCAAACATGTGGCTTAACAGGATAGGGTGAGCCTAGGCCCTTGAGCCTTAGGGTTCCAGTTTAAAGGTAGCAGCCCAAAGAACAGGAGGGGTCTGCAGCTGGGGAGGCCACACTCCACTCTGCTGGTCACTCTATCCACCAGTGTCACAAACTTGTGGATGTCCTGGGCTAGTACCTCAGGCTGCTTCTGGGTAGGAAAGTGGCCCCTGGCTGGGCCAGTTACTCAGCAATGCAGGACAGAATCACAGGTTCCTATTCCCTGAGGTCCATCTTTGCTCAACCTCCCACTCCTAGCTCCTTCCAAGGGAAGATGCCCAGGTCCTGTGGCCCATTAGTCACCTGCTCACAGCCTACCTCTGCAGCCCTCGTCTATATCCTCTGCAAGTACGTGGTAGACAGGCACAGCCTCTACTTCATCTACATCCTGGCCAAGCTGGATATGTGGCTGAGGTGGAGGCTGGTGTGGGGTGGGAATGGAACAGGGGCATCACAAGGCCCCACTGTCCACCCAGACTCTGGATCCTTGTCACCACACCCCACAACTCTGCATCTCATAGGACTGGCCCTGGGTCTCCCACCACCCCGGCCCCTGCTGCTCCTAGCCAGACAGTGTAGGCTATGAACGCACCCCCTTCCACTTGGGGTCCCCAGGGAAGACAAACCCTGGTGCAGATAGCTGTTCCTAGGAAGGGGAGTACTGCAAATCATTTGTCTCTAGTGGTTCTGAAATGTGACATCATTTATCATTCAAGCACATGGTTTCACATGGGAAGGGAGTTAGGGTGGGGTGGGCCTAAGCCCCCAGGCCTTAGGGGTGGGGTTCAGGACAGCAAGCCCAAGAGCAAGCAGGACAGGCTGATAGCTAGGGAGGACACACTGCACCCAGCAGGTCACTGTTGCTCCACCAAAGTCACAAACTTGCGGATGTCCTGGGCCAGCAGCTCGGGTTCCTCCATGGCAGCGAAGTGGCCCCCACGAGCCATGTAGGAGTAGGAGAGGAGCTTGGGGTACTTGGTCCTCACCCATCTCTCAGGGAGGTGCAGTAACTCACAGGGGAAGGCAGCAAAGCCAGTGGGCACAAAGACCTTCATCCTAGAAGGACATAGGGCCAAAGAGGAGTCTGAGAGTCACATGCAGCCACACAGAAAAAGGCAGACTGTCGCCAACTAGTCAGCTACCCATCATTACTTCCTCCTTGCTGGGCACTCCCTTTCCTGGCAGGAGTCTAGGGCAGCCTGTGGCACTAACCTTTGCTGCTTTCCTAGATCCCCCAGCTCTGTCCAAGTTATAGCCCCAGCTGTGCCACTCCATGGGCCATACTCACCCCGCATGCTTCTGGGTCATTAGGCCCTGGCCCAGGTTCTCCTTGTAGTAGCGCTGGGAGGAGATGATGCTCCCTGTTGTCCAGTAGAGCATGATGTTGGTTAACAGCTCGTCCAGGGAGAACTTCCTGGGAAGCACAATAGGAAGCCAGGCTGAGGCAAGAACAGGGCACAGCAGGCAGAGTACTGCACAGCCTCATGCCTGGAGTGCTGAGCCCCCATAGCTAGGGTAGCCAGATGCTGCAGGAGCCTCTCCAGAGCCCCTGACTATAGGTATGACAAAGCCTGAGTCAGGCAGGGAGTTGGAATCATGCACTGCAGAGGCTGCAGCCTGCCTATCCTCCTGCAGCCACTTCCAGAGGGCACTACCTCTGGATACCCTGTACGGCTCCTATTCCTCATCACCCTGCTGTGAGGCTTGGAGCAGGTCACCAGGTCTATGGGTGACTCCATACCCCCATACACATGTGGTGATGATAGCCATGGGTTAGTGTTTGTGGTAAAGCTCAGAATACTAGTGGTCACCCTACCAAGAGCAACATGGGAGAGGATGAAAGGGAGGTTTAGAGGTGGACAAGGGGCCTCACCTCTCCAGGCCTCCATCCTCCAGGTCTCGGAATTCTGGATTGGTCCAGGTGGAAAACTTCTCCAGGATGTAGGCAGCTAATCCCACCGGAGAGTCATTCAGAGCACAGCCTGTGTGGGAAGAGGCACAGCAGACTAGGCTTGCATAACCACCTGCCCTAACCCTGGGGTTCTCACACTTCACTTCCCCAGCCTCTGGCCTCTGCAGCTCCAGAGGTGAGCCAGGAAGATCCCTCCCAGATCTGATGATGTTTCACATACTTCAGGCATAGTTTCCTTCAGACTGAAAGATCTGCAGCTCTGAGACTGGTGAGATGTGAGTAAAAAATATATAGGAGTGGGGCTTTTACTTTATCTATTTAGCTGTGATGGAACTTAAACCCAGGGCCTCATGCTTGGAAATAAGTGCTTTACCACTGAGTCACAACTCAGCCCAGCCCACAGTGCTGGTTGTAAAAAGGAGGGTCATTTTTTTTATTTTTTAGGAAGTAGGGTTTTTGTTTTTTCAGGGAGGAAGAAGAACTTACAGGTGATTCTTACCTCTGCTTTATGCTTCGTGTATTTAAAAATAAATTTACAATGAGCATATACTTTATAACTGGAGCAAAAATTGTATTATAAGGTGCTATTCCACTCATGAGCTGCCTCATGTGAGAGACTGTGGGGTTGCCATGAAAACTAGGAAAGGCTTTGGCGTGGGCAGAATGGCTTCAGGAACTTGCCAGTAGAATCCAGAGCTGAGCCCGTGGGCACCTCTGGGGTCATCTGTCCCCTAGCTCCCTGTCTTCCCTTGTCTTTACAGCTCTATCAGTTATATAACACTAGGAGTGATACAAATGACTCCTGTCCATAAAAGAGCTCCAGTGGATATGTATTACTCTGTGGATGTGGATGGGTTCTGCCTCCATTAGCAAATTATTTTCTTACTTGCCTCTGAATACTTGCTGTTTTGTAACATTTTACTGATTAGTTTATGAATTAATGAATTCAATAAGATCTTGGACGTGTTCATTTCATGTACGGATGAGAATAGTGATTTTTAGCTTTTTTAAAAACTGAGTTCCAACAGGACCCTGGTGGCAGAAGTAGTTGCTGGGCCTCCTCACTACTGCAGGGAAGTCCTCCAGTCCCTCAGCACATACTCCCTTTGCACCACTGGCACAAGCTGCACAGAGCCAGGCTTCTCCACCCTTTGCCTCCTCCTTCCCTCTGCTTCTTGGTACTTGGCATGACACAGGCTGGGAGTGGGGTGAGGGGTCAGGAACCAAAGCCACTGCAGATTCTGTATCAGCCAAACAACTGGATTAGCCTGGGACTGGATGACCATATGCAAACCCACTTCTCTAGGGGAACGCCATTAAGGGTTAAAAGATCTCTGAGTCCCTTACAGGGGTTTTCACCTGTGGGCAGTGTCCTGAAGACCATGAAATCCCCCACCTCTGGGTACTCACCTACAGTGTCCGGCTTGGTGGCCTGGATGTGCATGTAGCCACTCTCCCTCATGATGCTGTAGAAAACCTTTTCCTTGAAGGGGTAGATCAGCTGTATATCTCTCTCAGTATAGCCAAGAAGCCTCCCAATACGTTGCCCCAGGAGAAGGGTCAGGGTGTAGGTATTTCTTAAAATTAATGCCATGTTCAAGTGCAGGCCTTTCACGTGGCTGAGGGCAGAGAGTGGCAGGTGAGGCTGGGCTTGCACTGAGGGAGATGGTCAGACACAGGCGAGGGCAGAGACCAGTAGGGACAGCCTCCCTGCTCTCCCCACCTGGGTGGACCCTGGTACATGGGGCCAGGTCAGCTGCTGGCAGGTAGGGCTGTTGCAAGCAGCTGTGCCCAGCACCACGTTCTCTTGGCCATGGGGTCCTGATGGGACCTTACCTGGGCACCAGCTGAGCCATGTTGGTGCAGATCTGGGCCCCCCAGTCTCCTCCCTGAATGTAGAACTCCTGAAAGCCCAGCCTCAGCATCAGCTTGTAAAAGATCCGGGCAGTGGCCACTGTATCCAGGCCTGGTTGTGAAGAAGAGGAAAATGAATTCACAGGGAAGTCACTTCCAGAGTGCAGGGTGCCCTATGAACTCCTCAGACTCCATGCCTCCATTGGTGCTGAGGCCAGCTCCTCACAGGCAAAAGAGGCTCAGCATGATACCATGTGGCCAGCACCTGCCTCAGATCAGGCACTAAGCAGGCAGCACGGCTCTGCCGGGCTCTGGTAAGAGCCTCATTGGCCTGGAAAGACCTCAGGCCAGATCTTAGCCAAGCTAGCATTTTAGCACAAGAATGCCCTCAGAGTCCTCCTGTCTCATCCTCCCCAAGAGCCAGGTGGGAAGCCCAGGCCATGCTTGGCAGGACAAGGTGTTCTAAGCCAGTGGCAGCTCCTTACCCTTCTTGCTGGATGCCTCTGAGAAGCCGTAGCCAGGGATGGAGGGGCAGATGACTTCAAACACATGTTCATCACTTAGGCCGTGGCTCTTGGAGTCCATCAGAAGCGGGATGATCTTATAAAACTCGTAGAAGGAGCCGGGCCAACCATGCACCATCAGCAAGGGCTTTGGGGTGCAGCCTGAGGGCAGCTGTTGGGGCTTTGCGTGGACAAAGTGGATGTCTAGCCCTGGGGACAGAATGCAGTCAGGGTGGCACAGGCACTGGGTGCTGCTGAATTTAATGCCCTGTGGGAGTGGCCACGGTCACCTCAGCTCACACTACACTCACCATGCCATGTCCTCAGACATCAAGACCCCCCACAACACACACACACACACAAGAAAACACAGCCAGTCTGTGCCCGCATGGCTGGGCTCCAGGCCAAGATAGTTCCTAGCTCACAGTACAGCTGCATATTTTGTTTACTTTTTCTCTGGTGTTTTTGAGAGAGTGTCTCACTATGTGGTCCAGGCTGAACTTGGCCTTACAGTGATCATCCTGGCTTCAGTCTCCTTAGCGTTCCCATAGTATGTGGCATGGTCTCCCCACCCCCACCCACAGAGCTGCATAATTTAAAAGTTGTATGGGGGGAGAAAGAGGCCTGGAGATCCTGCAATAGAGGGTTAATTAGTTAGATTATATTTTAATAGTAACTATACTAGAATAGGTGTAGATGTATATTTAACACAGAAAATAGTTTATTGCTACATGGTAAAAGCAAATTAACAAGTCAGATCCATTGTATGATCCAGTTTTGTCACAGTAATATGTTTGCATATTTTATGTGGGTGCTCCTCAACTTACGTGATAAACCCACATGATAAACCCACCTTAAGTTGAAAATTTCTTAAGTCTAAAATGCATTTAAGGAAGATGGCATAGTGATGAACAGCAGTGAAAGAGCCTCTCTGAGATTTGATGTCCAGCTGCTGGAACATAGCAACATGGGGAAGGGGAAAAGAAGGGAAGTGGGTTCCTGGGAGCCAGGAAGGATCTGAAGTAACAACTGAAGCCCCTGGGGAGAGTGAAGAGAGACACTTCAGTGAAGAAGGAGGAGGTGACAAGCAATGCTTTCTCCCAGAGCTCTGACTCTGCGTGGGAGGGGCAGCTCCAGCCTGTGGCTGCTGGCAACCTCAGAGGCCTCCACAGACAAATGAGCCAGTGGAATGGAGCAGCGGACACAGCAGACTGCGGTGACTGCTGAGTTCAGTTCAGATGGCCCCAGGAGAGGGTGATTGGTAGCCAACTTGCAGAGGGGCTAGCTGAGCTCAGAACACAGAACAGCGGCAGGCTGACTCCATCTAGCAGCTGCCAGTGTCAGAGTGAGGTGAGTTCAAGTAGGCGGGGGGTTAAGTAGCTGAGTTAAAGCCAGCAAGCAGCCAAGTCCAAGCCGGCAGGAGGTACATGGAGTGTTGCAGGCTGAACAAACTGGGTTCCAGACTCCCAGCCAGAAACCAGCCTGAACTTCAGTGGAACTAAAAATGCAGGCTTTCTGGGATTATTCACTACCCTGCCATGAATCCACAGCTGGCCTGTTGGGATTCATCAACACAGATCGGGCTCTGTCTGCCCAGTCTATCAGTGACATCAGAGACACACCTTGAACTGGACATTTTTTTCTCATTTTTTTCTCTCTTTTTTTCTTGTTTGTTCTTGTTTTTATATGAGTGTGAACAGTGTTTCTAGTTTTTTTGTTGTTGCTGCTTGGTTCTATTCTTATTTCTTCCTTCTCTCTTTCCCTCTTGTCTTCTTCACCAGTTTCCCAAAGTTTGCATAATCTCATTTTGTCCTCCAGCCTTGCTTCTAATCTCTTCTTCTTCTATTTCTTTATTTTTTCCCCTAACTGATTTTACATTTTCTCCCCTGAGGGTAAAATCACCATACGGAGGGCTTATTTACTGTATATAATTTTTTGTCTTATTTTAGATTTTGTCATATAACCACAAATCTAGTTCATAAAGTTAAAGGTGGCATCACTTCTCGGCCTTTTGGCTAAGATCAAATGTAAAGTTTTGTTTTTTTGTTTTTTTGTTTTTTTTTTTTTAGTTTTTCTCTGGTACCGGGAAATGAACTCACGACCTTGCGCTTGCCAGGCAGGCGCTTTTGCCGCTGAGCTAAATCCCCAGCCCCTAAGATCAAATATAAAGTTAAAAGTGGCAAATTAATGACAGTTGGTCACAGATTTATTGTCACAAATTTATCACAGTTTGTCATTTTCTAGGCTGTGTTTGATGCTACTGTAATTGCTGATTATACTACATTAGCCAAGGTAACATAATTGTTCTATCAGTTGTTCTTCCTGGTATGCTAAGCCTGAGATTGCCTAAAAAATAACATAGGCCAGTGCTGAAGAACCAGGGATTAGGCCAAATAGGCAGCAAATTCTCCCCAATAAATTGAAGAGATGGGATCTTGTCAATAGACTCAAAACCCAAAGGCCAGCTACACCTGGAAGACATCTGAGAAACAGTCATTTCTTGAGGGTTCTAACTACTAGCAACAGAGCTACTGCCATGAGCAATTTACAAGTGTCAACCCAGGACTTACACTTAAAAGAAGAAAAAGGAAAAGAAAATGAGAAGACACTTAAGCAAGATGCAACCCTAGACTTCCAGGTGAAATGTGAAACAATGAGGTGAAACAATTCAAAAGCCAACCATCTGGTCCCTCTGCACTGATAACAGCGAAAGTAACAAACCAGATGAATGAGGCTCTAGAAAAAAATCAAATCAGAAATAATTTCTCAGATAATTACAGAGATAGTGACCATAACGAAAGACATGGTTAGTCTAAAGCAGATACAGATTTTTTTAAAACTAGAGGAGCTTAGGAAAATGACAGAAAGCATGACTGCCTAACACCAGAAAGAAATGGAATCCATGAAACAGATTCAAACAGATATCTAGGAAATTAAAAATGCCACTGAAAGTATATGCAGCAGAATGAGCCCATGTGGGGATAGAATCTCAGATATAGAAGACAGGATTGCAATTAACAATCATGAAAAGAAAGATTTTTCAAAAATAGCAAGGAAAAAAAATTTAAAAAAATAAAAATAGCAAAGGACCATGAAAAACCAAATCCAACAACTGCTAGATTATGCAAAGAAGAATAAGATTGACTGGGGTCAATTAAAAAGTAGAAGATAGTATAAATGACATAAAAAACCTGTTCACAGAAGTAATGGCAGAAAACTTCCCAAGCAGGGAAAAAATTTTGACATATTTGAAATGGTGATAAGTGAGGCATACAGAAATTCAAGTTGCCATGCTCAAAAAAAAATGTATAACAAGCATATAATAGTTAAGAAGTCAACACAAGAAAAGAATAATAAAAGCTGTAAAGAAAAGAAATAAATTGCCTCTAAAAGAAAGCCCATCAGAATCACAGCAAACTTCTCAACACAAACCCTCAAGTCAAGGAGAGGTTGGAGTGCAGTATTTCAAGTCCTGAGAGAAAAAAAAAACCCTCCAACCCAGATTGATGTACCTTGCAACCCCACTGCAGAGTATCCATTGTTTCCCCTCATGATTAAGAGGCTGACTGGAAGCTCTGGCTGGACAGCAGATGACCAGACAGGGAAAAGATCCATATTCAAAACATGACTTCTACTAAGCGCATATTGCTTTCACACCATTGTGAAGGTGAAAAGTCATAAATAGAACCATCTCAAGCCAGGGACTGTCTGCATGGTATGTGTCTGAATTTAGAGGATTCAGAGAGTGAACTGGTTCTCCCTGAGCAGAAAAATTAATTGCTTATAATTTCTTCTTTGTGGTTTTGTTTTGTTTGATTTTGAGGCAGGTGCTTGCTATGTATTTCAGACTGGCCTCAGACTCATAGTGGGCCTCCTCCCTCAGCCTTCCAAGCACTGGGATGACAGGCATGTGCCACTGCACCTGGCATTCTTTGTATTTTATGTGCTAATTTTTCTGCAATAAACACATACTAAATGCACAACTTGGTCCCACTATAAGCACTAATTATCTTTTCCCAATTACAAAACATAGCTTTCTAATTTTTTTAAATTGGCAGAGGGATTATTTATTTTGCAGTGCTGTAGATGGAGTGAGTCCTGGGCCTCACAAATGCCAGGCAATCATTCAACACCGAGTAGGCCCACTACTGATAAGCACTGTGGAGTAGAACAGATTCTAGAAACTTTTTCTGGTACAACTGGACTCCAGGCACACTGCTTGTAACCTCCAGGAGGGAAACAGCCCTCACCATTGCTCTTCCCTCCATCCTGGACCACATTCCCACATCTCCACCCTGAGGCCGTCTGTTCCCGGGGCCACACCGCAAGGAGGGGTGCACGCTGCGAGTGACTGTTGGGCTGAATCCCTGTCCCCCTCTGCATCCCCAGAGGAATACCTGAGACCAGAAAGGCAAGAAAGCAGGACCCGTTGAGAGAGAGGAGGAGGAAAGAAGGAAGGAAGGGAGGCAGGCAGGCAGGCAGGCAAATCATTCCAGAACTTGTGTGTGCTCCTGTCCTACTCCAGAGGACTCCATTTCTCCCTAGCCCAGTGATGGTAAACTTCTAAAGCTTTCAGTGACAGCCCAATGCAGCACACATGCCACAGGTTTGCCACCACTGCCCTAGCCCCTTCATGTTCCCCCTCAAGCCCAGTCTCGCCTATCAGAGGACAGTGGCACTTGCTGACAGGCCTCTGGGCCAGCACTTCTACTTCCTGTCACATCACCTTCCCTCTCGAGAGCAGGTTCATCACTGCCTATCACATTCAAGCCTTGGAGACAGAGGAGCAGCCACGGGCAGCACTAGGACCACTGGGCATGCTCTGCAACTCCACAAGCTGGAGGGAGGTTTGCCTGGATAAAAGAAAAGATTCAGAGATTAAACTTTCTGAATCTTCATGCCACACAGGCATGAAAAAGCAAATACTGTGTCAACCAATGAACAGGAGAAAATGTTTGTAAATATCATACCTAGTAAGGGATTAATACCCAGAATATATAGAGAATGCCTAAAACAGGAGAGGGGAGGGCAGGAGAGGGGTTAGATGACCAAGAGATGATCGAAAGTTACCAGCTCAGGCAACACCTTGAGTTTAAGAAAAAGCAGAATTCTGAGACATGCTACAATGCAGATGAAGACCAAGGACAGCATGCAAAGGGAAGTTAGTCATATATAAATGACAAATACTCTGTGATTCCATTGATGGGGGTACTGAAGTTGTGAAATTCCCAGAAACAAAAAGAATGGTTGTCAAGGGTAGGGAGAGGGAACTAGGAAGCGATTGTCCATAGCACTGAGTTTCCATTTGGGACGACAAGAAAGTTTAAGAGATAGTCGGGAGTGATGGTTTCATGAAGATGAACCACCTATCTATTTACTGCCACTGAATTGTACCCTTAAAAATGGTCTTGATGGTAAATTTTGTTAGGTATATTTCACAACAACTATATGATTGTAAAGTGAAAGGTATGGGTCTGGTTTTCTTAAATATTTCCAACTTTGATTCTAAGTCTTTCTGCAGTTAAAAAATGCTTTTCCAGGCTGGGTGTGTTGACGCACACCTGTAACCCCACCACTCGGGAGGCTGAGGCAGGATTGCTGTGAGTTTGAGGTCAGCCTGGGCTACAAAGTGAGTTGAAGGCCAGCCTGAACTGCAGAGTGAGACCCTGTCTCAAAAAGACAAAAAAAAAAAAAAAAAAAAAAACCAAAAATGCTTTTCCACCACAGCAAATATTAGCTCACCCATAACAATGCTGTCACCTTCCCAAGAAACATTCAAGACACACACTGCCCCGGTGAGTCTATGTGACACCAAGGGACAGCTGGGACATGTGGTCTAGAGCTGCAGAGAGGACATTTTTATAGGCCTGGCCAGATGAGCACCTTTGTACAGTGACATCCTGGTCTCAAGACTTTGAAGACTGAGGTCCAAGTCTCCATCCTTCTTGTAATGCACCACCACCTTGTTGGACAGAGCCTGCATCTCTCTGGCTTTTGAAGCTGGTCATGGTGGTGCGCACCTATAATCCCAGTGTGGCTGGAGATTATCTGGGAGGCTGAGGCAGGAAGATTGCCGTAGGCTTGAGACCAGCCTGGGATACATAGTGAGTTCAAGGCCAGGTTGAACTATACAGTGAGATTCTGTCTCAAAAACAAAACAAAACAAAATCCAACCCCCTCACACAAAAAAACCCAAAAATATATCTCTGGCTTTTAAATTATATCTGTATTCTCCTGGGTAGTCTTTTCTGTCAAAGGGGCTATTTAAGATAACTCCAATCATACAAATCTTGACTTTTATAAAATTCTATTCTTGTAAAATGTACATGTACTTATTTCACCATTCCTTAGAAAGACATTTTAAGACAAAGAGCCACACACTAGTCTACCTGTCATAAATTTTTGTGTGTAACAAAGAGATTTCTGAGTCACAGGATCTGTTCTGCCAAGCAGCTACACCTTAAGAACTAGCCAATCAGGTTAGACTGTAAGGCTACACTCCCACCAAAAGGGCATGGCCTAGTGCATCAGGAAATAAAAAGTCAGCAAAGTACTTGTGTGTGTGCTGGCTGGCTTTGTTTAGCGTAAACCACACACCCTTCTGCAGCAGTAAAGTTTGCCTTGATGAGAAACTTCCCAAAAGTCTAGTTACTTTTGTCCTGTTTGCAACACCAGAAATTTATGTCCAACAGTATCACTAAAGACTGAGGGCATTGTCTTTGCATTCTAGCAAGGTTGCACCTCCCAGCTGCACCCCAGGGACCTGCAGCAGCCCCCTCATGCAAAAGGCTCCCCATGGATCTCCCCGGCCATATTCAGCAAACACACCTTCGATCTTCGTCTTGAAGTGAGGGTACTTGTTGAGGATCTCCACCTGCTTCCTCCAGTCAAATTCATTGCGCCAGTACGACAAGATCTTCTTCAGGTACTTGGAGTTGAAGCCATAGTGGAATCGGCTGCCCTCCAAAGATGGGGTTAAACGGAACCTATCAATCCTCTGGTGTAAGTCCTGCAGTGGGACCAAAGGCCCAAGGAGAGAGGGCAGGCAGAACACAGGAGAAAGTGGGTTTCACAACAGAATAAAGCCTGCAGATGCTGTGCCTTGACAGTGGCAAAGCAAGGCTCCCACATCACCAGCACATCATCCCAACGGAGATGTGCTTTGTCCTGAACTTGTGAGACTCCTGCCTTCGCCTGCTGAGTACTTGGGATCACAGACGTGCACCAGCACACTGGCCATATCACTGCACATTTCACGTTCACTTTCCATTTTTCATCTTTCCTTTCTTCCTTGTAGTGCTGAGGGCCAAACTGCTTCACCACCCCCATTTTTGAAAGCTGAGACTTGTAGAGTCAGTAACCCTCAGTGCTCAGCCACCACCCCGACAATGGGGAGCAGGGCTTGTGTGCCTTGGGCTTAGTGCAGCTGGTTTTTAATTCCCTTCCTCAGAATTCTCACAGCATTTTACCAGCACACCGTGCCTCTCACCACTCATCTTCTGAACACTCATCTTGTTCACCATCCTGCCCCAACTACTGGACAACAAGCTATAGGAAGAGCAGTCCCTGTTTTCTTCCAGCACACAGTAAGTGCTCAAGGAGTACAGGATAAGAGATGGACAGGTTTGCGCTGGTCCTGCCACTCCACCCCAGCCTCACCCTTCAGGGGGATCTCAGGCACTCAGGACTTCCCTGTGTCCCCTCCTGACTGCAGCAGCCAGGAGCTGGACCTGAGTTCAAATCTTCCTGTGTGTCAGCTTGATCCCTGGAACACACTGCTTCACCTTTCTGAGCCTCCCTCCCACTGCTGAGAAGGCAACAGGATTGCTGCAGCCTAGACACAGCCAAAGTGCTGACACACAGCAACCGCTACAGGCCTGCCCTGCCTCTCACTGCTCCCTGGAACCACTGCTCTGGTGCAGGAAGCCCCTGCCTCGCACATGCCTGTGCTTCACAAGGCCTTAGGGGCCAGAGGAAGTACAGACAGCTGCTCTCTAAAGCCTCCAGTGCCTGCCCCTGGTGCCTCACAGCCTTGCCAGCTGCATACGCTGGGCCTCGGGAGGGGAGAGCAGTAGAAAGGGTGGGGGACATAGAGAACTCCAACCAGGGCTGTCCCCCCAGCTCTGTCACATGAACTGCAGCCTTGACAGGGAGGTGCCTTACACTGATCTCCTCCTCTGAGGTTTCCACTTTGAAAGGGTGGATGCTCTCATCCTCCCTGGCTGTAGACTTCGTCCCTGGGCCCCACCAACCATCTTCAAGTGGCAAAGTCTCCTCCTTGTCCCGGGAGACAAACCAGTAGATGAGGAAGCCCAGCGTGGAGGCGAGGAGAATTTCCAGCCACATGACTCCTGTGGGATGAAGAAGAAACCATCAGCAAGAGAGATGACCCGCCGAGGAACTGATCCCCACAGGCTCCTCACCAGTGCCTGTCCCACCCAGTATATTTGTCTAAAGAAACTGTGACTAGCCAGGTATGGTGGCACATACCTGTGATCCCAGCACTGGGGAGGCTGAGGCAGGAGGATTGCTGTGAGTTCAAGGCCAGCCTAGGCTCAAAGTAAGTTGAAGCCCAGCCTGAACTGCATAATGAAACCCTGTCTTAAAAAAGACAAGATAGGAAGGAAGGAAAGAAGGAAGAGAGAGAGAAAGAGCAAGAGAGAGAAGAAGAAGAAGAAGAAGAAGAAGAAGAAGAAGAAGAAGAAGAAGAAGAAGA